GCAAAATCTCATTGTTAGATTCGTCATTAAATGACAGCAGAAATATAATAAGTTGATTGTCTAATCAATAGAGTCAATATTATCGACGCGAATATAAATAAATTGTATGGATTATCGGAATGAATACGTGAATCTAAATGCGATCAGATCAATGATTTGGATAACAGATGCAATCAGTTTAGCTTGTTTTATAGACTTTAAGTCATACCAATGTTATCGAGTGAATGATCATCAGCGAAGGAAAACGTAGATGAAAGAAAAAAACTAACTGAAAAAAAGCATTTTTCTCACAAGACAAATCCATATGTGCATCTTTAATATATAAGCCGTATATGATCAAACAACAGAAATTGTTCGTATGTTGGTCATAATATATGAGCAACAAAGTCTGTCTAACCTTATGGCTATTTAATGATTACTCACCCCAAAGCGATCCACAAATTTGAAATGCTTAATTAACCTATATATTGACAAAATGAAAGATATCAATCAATCAAAAATATTATTATTCTTTTCTGTAATTCGCTGGAAAAGCTCGGTCACTGTAAATAAGGAACCTTAATTCTGAGATAAAAGAAAGTAGGATGACAATTTATCGAGAATGTTCATTTCTTCTGAATTAAGTCAATACAATCATAGCGATCCATTATCATATAAAGACAGATTACAAAAATAAATTAAAGTATGAGTAAAAACTGAAAAAAAAATACTGATAGTCCATCATCACATTTATACAGTGCACATATAGAGAAAAGAGAATACTGTCACTTAGAACATAGAAACTGTACATAAGAGGTCAGGCTATGATATAAACTTTTAGTGGATCACGTTTAGTAATGGTTAAAGATGGATTGACGTTCAGTATGATCATTGATGCCCTCTGCAAGTATCAACATCAAAAGTATGCGTGCCTTCCATGGATTGAGCGTACCCGCACTAAGAAAGTTGGCCTGATCATCGAGTTTGTCATGCGACACGTGACCATAACTTACACGAGACGAGCGTACGATTGTCACGCCTTGTTTTACTGCATCGATTGCCGCTTGTTGCAGTGATCTGTGGATTGTTCCATCACCAGTGCCTGCAATCACAATCCCTTTTGCACCGCTTGCGACGAAAGCATCGATCGCTGCCCGCGACGCTTCAGCATAACTCATGACGATCTCGACTGAAGGCAACTTCAACATTTTTTCTATAGAAAATCGACTCTTTGTCGTATTCAAATGCATCCCTACAATGCTGCGCTCAAAATGTACCTCGTTGCCTTTTACCCAGCCGAGCGCACCGAACTCACTTGCCCGAAACGAATCGACGGAGTAAGTGTTAATTTTGGTTATATCATGTGCACTAAAAATCTCATCATTCATTACGACTAATACACCTTGCCCTTCCGACGCTTTACTTCCTGCAACCACTACAGCTTCCAGCAAATTGAGTGGCCCATCAGCGGACACTGCAGTTGCTGGTCGCATTGCTGCAGTGAGCACGACGGGCTTCTTACTCTTTGCAACCAGATGTAAAAAGTAGGCTGTTTCTTCCAGTGTATCTGTACCGTGCGTGATAACAATACCATCGACTTGGTCGCTTGCGAGTAAATCGTTTACATGGATCGCAAGTTTTTCCCACAAGTCGATTGTCATGTCCTTGCTGTCAATATTCGTCAGCTGCTCGGCTTGGATTCGGGCAACTTTCAAAAGCATTGGTACGGCTGCCAACAATTGTTCAATACTGAGTACACCAGCTTGATAGGCTCCCGTCAACACAGAGTCATCTGTTTGACCAGCAATCGTGCCTCCTGTCGCCAGAACGGTGATACGCGGCAATTCTTTGTCTGAAACGAGATGTTCGGGTTACTTCTTTAGAGAAATAAAGGGTCATTAATCTAACTAATTATATCTTCAATGTTGAAGTTCTAGAAAACTGAGACTTTTAAAACGTATATGAGATTATAATCAAGTTTTCTAAAGCTTCCAAGCTACATTGATAGTTCTTCAATTAAAATGTCTGACAAAGTTGTAGTTCATACTTAGAACTCTGATAATTGTTTGCTTATCTAATTATTCCATTTTCATGTTCTGTAAAATTGCAAATAAAATCGAAACTCTTGATCAGCTGTCTATAGGAATGTGTTTCATATATTTGAATCAACCCAACCTGTTTGATTTCTAATGTGAGGACAGTTCATGGGTTTTTTCACAATTCTACAGTTAGTGGCATGGTTCATAAATAATAATAATAATAATAACTGAACTATATGATCATGTTATTTTCGATGAGTGGTAATATTTATTTGAACCTTCATTTCAGCTGACAAATTCAAAGATGATATATTTTATACCTGCAAGGGTTCATGAAGGGACTTGGAAAAATTGAGTGTAAACTGAAATTTACCATTCCACATTTATAGGAATTGTTAAAACTTTATCACGGTGAGTTAGTCATTTTCAGAAAGTCGTCTTCAAATATATGCTAATCTAACTATAAATAGTTCGATTAGCTTCTGTGGTAGTAATCAGATCTGACTATCCTATGAGTGCAGGTAGAGAATGTGCATTTATGTATGCGTCAGTGGATGCAGCTGTCCTCACTAATGAAGAAAAGATGCATCCCTACATCCGCATAGCATCAGCATGATAATTTAGTTAGAAGGCATACCTAGTAATTTATTGTCGTCGTCTTTTTGGAAATATTCCTCACACCCATTGTGCTTTCCGTTGTGCTGAGTGAAGTGAGAACAGTCAGACATCTTTGACAATTCTAAAATGAAAAGAATATGAGTTCACATCTATTTAGCTTATGCGATTAGGTTCTTATGGATTTTGTTCGAAAGCAAAGATAGTTTCACAATGAAATTTAATGACCAGCATGGATTATTAATTCGCTCATGTTATTGAATTTCATACTCTTGCCCGACATAATAATTAATGTGATCACTACAGATTTATTTAACTTCAGTACAAAGTATACTGCTTACGGGAAAGATAGAAGGAACCAGTGCTGTGTTGTAGAGCGAAAAACTTGGACTCTTCATTGCGTGTCAGGACCAGCCCCTCTTACAGATAACTCTTTCCCTCTTCAATACAGACAAGTCAATGCAGATCTGTCGACATTTTTATTGCATACCCGTATAGACAGTAGCAGAACTTTTGAGTTCATTCGATTTTTTCGTTTCAGTTGGAAATGACGAAAAAAATGTCCAAACTCTTCTGATCTGTTTAGATTTACGTCCTTTTCAGTAGTATCAAAACATGCAATATGGATAAATTTACTGTAGACACAGATGAGTATAGATCGCAATGCAGATATATAAAGATTCTTTATGCAGGCAAAAGTTTTTAAGTTCTTGAGCTAGCAAATTCAACTTTCAAGCTTGACATGTGTGACAGATTCGGAAGTAAAGGTTTGGATATTACAGAAGAGGATATATAAAAAAGAAAAAATAATAGTGATGATTTCTGATAGAAGGGGTGTTGGTGTGGATGGAAATACGCTTTATTCTTATCCTTTATATCATACAATCGCATTGTTTTCATACAAAACATACGCTTATATACTCAACCATCAGAGAAAAGAAAAGAATATAGAAGAAAACGATAACACAGACATAAAGTAAGAACAGAAAGATAAAGACAATCAATAAGATGAGAAGAAATAGTAAGGAAAGTACAAACATCATGCGGTCAAAAAAAGTCAACTTCACACGTAAACTCCAAATTTGGAGTTCACTTGCACATCCATGTTTTACAGTTGATAGCAAACAGAGCGCTCTTGTCAACCCCAGTCATAGACTATCAGCATTACGTAACTGTAAATCAGTTAATTAATTAGTACTTACCTGAATTAATGCTCACCTTAATTAGTACTTATCTAATCAGGACTAATTAATCTGAATACTGAAAACTTCTCAAGCTCAAAGCTAGGTGGTACCCTAAATTGATCATGAAAGCCTATCCAATGGGGCTACACATAGGTCTTCAAGGCCAATGCTGTGCGAGTACCCATAAAGACTTGATACCGGTTAGCTATCGGTCGATCACGTCCGAGAAAGACGTTTTGTCGTTTATTTTAAGGACAGAACATACTATTGCTGGGGTCATATGAAAGAGCGCCCTCGATAACCTATAGATCGGCCCGAACAACCCCATGTTCTCTCCTTAAAATAAGAGGAAAAAACGATACTGAATTCTGATTGGTCGAACTATCAGCCAATCAGATTCTAGTACAGTTTTGCTCTCTTATTTTAACCCTTCGGCGACGGGTGACACCAATAGACGTCACAGTAATGTTTTGATATATTGATGCTCATAGAAACGTATATGATATTAATTTTCATGAAAGCATTTA